CTATAAGCTGCAAGAAAAGACACCAGATGCTCACTGTCAAATTGTTTTTGGAGCGTGTCAGTACCGATACGGCGTTCTAGTTTACATGCAAAGTGGAAAGACGTACAGAGACAGAAAGAAGAGAACAGAATAAATGATGGAGTAACTCACGCAGACCCGTAGATTCCATACGAGAGGCGGTGTTGACTGTATCACCAAAAAGGCAGTATCTAGGCATAGTTAGGCCCACTACTCCAGCAACACATGACCCTATGCAGAGACACTTTGGTTAAATGTTTTGTGTAAACCTTGACAGGTGCTATATCCATGGACCATTCTATAAATCACACGTACAGTCTCTGAGGCTATGTATAGTTAACTGCATAAGTAAATACACGCTTGTGTACATTTATGTGGAATGTTGCTTGCACACTAATGGCATTTTTCCACTGCACACTCAAAAGCGGAACTGACCCAAACAGGCATGCTAATTGGACCAATGACCGATGGAAAAGGAACAGTTCCAGTTTTCCAAAGGTTCCTGTATTTTGTGCATTAAAAAAATGTCCAAAATGGAAGCAACATGCTCATATGCTGTTACCAAGTTGCATCTATACTGTACTAGCTAGCAGGCTGAGCTCACCTGAGTGAATGCCTATTCGTATCCTGACTGGAACCTCTGGCATGTGGCGCATTTGAAAGCTTCCCACAGAGCTGAGGATGTTCAGGGACATGTTGGCAATCTCAGCCGCATGCTTATTGCCATTTCTCTTTGGAAGCCCTGAGGCCACCATGTAGGCATCTCCAATGGTTTCCACCTACATTGGAAAACAAACATTTGCAAGATTGTCCATGGCTTTCATGTACATCGGTCACTAGTAGACAGTTTAATCAGGTTGCTACCATGGGCGTAACATGGATTTACACTTGCCATCAACATGGATTAATTGATGGTGAGATCACAGGAGTGAAAGCGTACCTTGTATACATCGTGGTTAGACAACACTGCATCAAACAATGTGTAGAGATCATTGAGTAGATCCACAACCTCGATGGGATCACTAAGTGAGGAAATTGTGGTGAAACCCACTATGTCACTAAAGTAGATGGTGACCTCATCGAAGTACTCTGGCTCCACAGTGGCACCAGTTTTTAAAGCCTCGGCCACAGACCTGCGAAACAGTGACCATGTTTAATAATGTGACTCAAACATATATGAGAATTATTAAAGGTGCCAAACTTGAGAACAGATTCAGTTCAGATGATATGCGCACACATATTTCAATACATGTATCTTCCAACTTTTTAACCTATTTGTTTCAATTCAGCATTGAAGTTCTGTTTAGACACAGATTACAGATACAATTAGTTAAACAATATATGACAAAAATATGTAGATATTTTCATCACAGCATAAGTAGGGGTTTCTTTTTTAAAAAAAAAAGGCTTACGGAGGCAACATTTCTGTCAGGAGTTTCTCCGTCCGCTGTTTCTCCACCTCCAGCTCCTCTGTCCTCTCTCTGATCAGATCCTCTAGGTTAGAGGAATACTGCTCCAGCATACGCAGCATGGAGTCTATGATGTTGGTCTTCTTGCCCTTGTTTATAAGCTTGAACTGTGAAATAAGTGAGACTTCAGAACAAAACTTACAACTGGCACACAGAAGTATGAAGATAATTCAGAAACATTCTTTCAGTGGTCATCTATATATCACCTGACAAAATGTCACTTTCCTGCCCTTGTTTATAAGCTTGAACTGTGACATTAATGAGACAGCAGCATGAGGCATAGAGAAACCTAATGTAGTACGCCACCTAGAGACCTATATATTTGTCCACTGTCATCAAAGCCTCATAATATTTTTTTTCTATCTTTGTTTTGCTTGCATTAGTTAAAAAAGTAACACTTTATTTGGATGGTCCACTGTAGATGCTTTGTAGATTCTCAGTCTAACATTCAACTAAATACCTACTGAATGAACTTGAAGTTGTGTGTGAAACGTCAACTGAATATCACCAGAAAGTCGATTAATAACATAAGTATCTGTAGATCATCTGTAGGGGACCATCTGATTAAAGTGTGACCATATTTTTACATTAACTTTCATTATAAGTTATGTATAAATGGTAAAAATCCATTTTTTCACAGGGGCAGCTGGTACAAATGGGCTAGTACGGTTAGGCCCTTCCTCTCTTTCAAAGAAAAAAGCTTCAACATAAGGTTGAGCAAACAAACCACTCCCATCATTTTACTTGCTGTTAACAAATGAGTAGAAGCTGATTATTCTGGAGTTTTGTGATCCCAAGAACCTTAAGATCATAAGAATGATAGAAGGCTTGGATACAATAGCAAAAAGTAATCCATATATCACTTGATACCATCACAAATCTGGTAGAGCAAAAAAAAAAAAAAATAAAAAAAAACTGCACACGCTTTCCTCCAAAGCACATGCCAGCCATACATCATCATGTAGTTTAACCTGCTAGGGGACACAGCACCTCAGCTGTCTGTGTAACCTGGCAGCTGCCCAAATTGGATGGTAAATCTTTTATGTTCCCAAGTGCAGCCAATTGCACTCTTGTGAACCCAGACCATAGACAATGTACAGAACCACTGGGACTTGAACTCACACTGCGTTCACCTCTAGATGCACTGGATGAACTAATTAGTGCCTGAAATTGCAGAGTGTGATGTTGGCAATCACAACCTGATCGAATATCTCATCGAATGAAGGCCTCCTGTCAGGCTGTTCACTCCAGCACTGCTTCATCAGCTGGATGCACTCTAGCGGAGCTTGGTCTGGAGCTACTGTAGGCCTGCACATGGGTGGAGGCTTCTTCACCTTCCGAATTATTTCTGTAGGTAATATACAAAGGGATTATGGTTAATATGCCAATATATAATAATGATGACAATAGTAATAACTTTATTAAATGCAGCACTGTTCATGCAGTTCAAATCTAATAAAATATTGGAAACAAAAATAGTGAATAGTAAAAGTAGCATTAAATGAAAACAGGACATATAGTATACTTTAACACAGTGAAAAAATACAAAGCATAGGGATTAAAATGAAAATGAAAACAATGAGATAAAGAAAATATAGGATGAAGATATGAAAGATTTAAAAACGTAAAAATAATAACTATATTAAAATGAAGAATGATGAAAAATATAATTAAGAAAGTACATCTAACAACTAATAAAATGCTAAACTGTTTTCAGCTGGTTTAGTAGGCTTGTAATTATATGATGATCAATATTAACAAGTAAATCATAGGTAAATAATAGCCTTAATAGCTATATACATTAAGCTGACAGATTATTAGGAACACCTACCTTCTACCTACTTGTGTCTACAATCATTAGTCATTTATCAGAAACACCTCCTTTATAAGTCCACTTTGAAGGTTTACAATTACAGACTGTTGCTTTATTAGTCCCACTTTACTCAGTCCATGTATACAGGTATAGTTTAATGTACTGGTAATCAGCCCTTCATTGGTGATCAGTTTTGACTATGTGGCCACTGTTGGCTGGATATTTTGGTTGGTGGATAATTCTTAACCCAACAGTGACAAAACCCCAGCAACACAGCTGTCTATGATACACTGATACCAGCACCACACACATTACTGTACCACTCCAGTGTCAGTATTAAACCGTCAGCTCAGTGTGCACACAGTACTTTATATAGGTAATAGAACTCTTACTGTAAGTCATAACTTTATAAGCAGATGCTGTTTTTAGCTTTAAGATCCATAGTACTATGCAAAAGTCAGAGATTACCACTTAGTCAGAGATCTAGAACTATTTTCTAGTCAAAATGGCAATTAAGTCTAAGTTATTAATTTTTCATTGTCAATAAAAAAGCAGAAAACATATTTAACAGAACATTACACAGATGCCTAGACAACTAAATATCAGCATTTTTGTCCACCTTTTACCTTTATTACAGCTTCCATTCTTTTCAGGAAATTTGCTTTCAGTTTTTGAAAGCAATATGCAAAAGATATTTTTCCACATCTCCAAAGTTCTTAGGAATTTGTTGCATTTTCTGCTTCTCATGCTTCAATTAATCCCAGTTCCCAATTAAAGATTTAGACTCAGCAGTGCATAATTTACTCCATATCTCCTAGTTTGGATTTTCTAGTGCAAATATTCTTCTTTTTATCTCCTTTTCTCAGTGAGACTTCTTGGCAGCTACACATCCTTTCAGACTCACAGTGTTGAGTTGTCTTCTCACAGCAGAAAGATGAACAGAAACACCTGTGGGTTTTTTTCAGATCTGAATCAAGAGTGGAGCTTGATTTTTTCTTGTCTCAAAGAAGAAGAAAGCTTTAAAGGGCTGTTTATCTGATGGGGACAGTTTTGGGCATCTATGGTGTAATTTTCTGTTAAATATATATTTCCTGCTTTTTTCATTTGCTGAAAAATGAATATTTACTGCGTAAGTTCTACTGCATATTCCATTCTTAAAAACCAAGTTATGCCCAATTAATGAACGGCAAGAAAGCCTCTGTCAAACCAACCTGATAACTATTTTCTTCTATTACTTTAACTTTAACTGACATTATGTTGGAAAATGGTCATTTTGCAGGACACTAATCTGACCAATCTGTTTTTATCATCATCCATCACTAACCTTCAGGAGACAATCCAAGCATGCAGTATGGAGGTCCACGAACAACCACCTCTTGGAGTATGATGGAAAAGCTATACACATCACCTTTAAATGTCCCTCTCCGTGAGTTCTCGGGGTCTCTGAGAAGTTCAGGAGCTGTCCAAAACAGATCTGAGAAAAAAGGGCCACCCTGAATTTAGTTCAGACTTTAAGATGCCATGTGGCAGTTTTTGCAAATGTAACTTTAAAGGGAAACATGTACACGGATCACATTCATACCTTCTGGAGGAAACTCTTGTCTTGGAGCTTTCTGGGAGTCAAGAAGCTCATTAAACCCATAATCTGTTATTTTTAGGACAAATCGTCCGTCCACCACACAGTTCCGTGACTTTAGTCGTCCATGAGGGAATTCTCGGTGGTGAAGGTATTTCATTCCCTGTTTGGTGAAAGACAACAACGTTATATTAAGCTATCAGTGAAGACTATACATGTTATACACAGTGCTGTGCAACTGAGGAACAACTGTTCATTCATTTAACGTCCAGTCAAAATAGACTTTAAGTACAGGGCGTTGTTTCAGGAGATATTGCTGAGGAGCTAATTTAGACCATCCACTTCAATGAGGAAGGGAAAAGTCAAAAACAAAAACTGAAGTTCAAAAACTATTAAAAGATTTAGAGAAATGGAACTCCATCTGTGCAAGACCTGGTAGACCACCAAACCTGTCACCATCAGCAGCACTTAAAGCTTTCATCTTTGAGACAGGGGAGAAAATCTACCTCTCATTTTTGCTTCAGATCTAAAACATCCACAGGTCTTTCTGTCCATCCTTCCACTGTGAGAAGACAACTCAACAATATGAGTCTGAAAGGATGTGTAAGTGTTAAAAAGGCCTTACTGAGAAAAGGAAATAGATAAAGAAACAAACAAAAAAAAAAACAAACAAAAAAAGAAGATGCTGGTGTTCTCAGAACAATGGACTGACAACCCCAGAGTCCAGACCTCAGCATCACTGAATGTGTTTGGGATTACTCTGGTCATGAGAAGCAGACAATGCAAAGTTGGAGATGTGGAAAAAAATCCCTGCTGATTTCTTTAAAAAACTAAAAGCACGTCTCCTAAAAAGAAAGAAAGCAGCAATTAAGGCAAAGAGTGGACACACTAAATACTGAAATTTTGTAGGCTTTTGTTGTTGCAGCTTCTGTGTAATTCTCTGTTAAATATGTTTTCTGCTTTTTTTCCTGATGCTAAAATTGAATACTCTGTACTTAATGGCCAGCTTGACTGGAAATTAAATAACTTTTCACAGTACTGTACATGTTTAATATAATTATAATGAAACTGAATTGTTTACAGTGACATTTGGTGAAAAAAATCTCTGGATTTCTATGATTAAAACTAATCTCAACCACACATAAGCCCCAATAAATTCCATGGCAAATTTTGGAGTACACTTGTTCTGATGAGATGCTTAGAGTAAATACAGTGTTGCTGTCATTTTAATACTTTACAACACTATTTTGTTTGTTTATTTGTTTTTTTCTTAGTTTATTAAATGATTTGAAAACTCCATCTGCCCTTTACAATGCCTGAACATGTTATGATAAATGGACAAACAGAAATGGCCCAAAACTACCAGTAATCCCAAATCATTAACATGCATTAAAGTAACAAAACATTGTTTCCTTCCACTGTAAGTTTTGGACATATGAGGTTTTGTCATGACAGTGACTTCATACACCTTGATGAGGTCCAGAACCAAAGAAGACTTAAACATCCAGTCCAATTTAACGTCTTCATTGCGCAGTAGGTCTTGTAGGCTCCCTCTTGAGCAGTGCTCAGTGACCACAGCAAATACATCGCAATCACAGAAGAACCCCAGGAACGGGTTAACATTCTCATTCCGGAGATCCTTCATCTGAAGAAAAAAGAAAAATGCTCTGAAAACTCAAAAAATAAGTTAAGATTTAAATGTAACAGTTCATTTTTTGGCAGATACCTTTGTAAATATTTTGGTGGTGCTCTGCTTTGACCTCCTTGAATTGGCCCTCTTCGAACTTCTTCAGCCACACCCAGTCACCCTGCGGAGAAAGAAAAAAAATATGATTTTTCTGAATGTTTAATAAAGATCTAGTTTGAGAACCTAGAGAAGAAGGATCCTACCTCATAGACAGCCACATTAGAGTTCTCATACGTTGCTGTTGCCAGGCTGTTTACGGAGTGGGAGCGATCTCCTGATCTGGTGCTCTTCTCATCAACAACACTTTTGGAGTCGCTGAGTTCTTCCAGGGTGATTTTCTAATACAGCAAAGCTAGAAGTTTAGTCAAGAACGCTTGTGTAGAACAGATACTTTAAAATGTGTTACATTTTAAATGTAGTCAAGAAAAACAGCCTAAAGAAACAAATATACCCGTTTGCTTAGCTGGGGATTGATGAAAGTAAGATCTTCTAAAGTAAGCAAGATCCGATTGGGTCCTTTTACAAACTGGATCTGTTGGATTCGCCTCCTATAAAACAATGCAAAGGCAGATTGTAGACAGTGATTTTCAGTAAATAGTGATTCTAAAAAAATGAAGACATGTTATGGACCTATAGGAATAAAGTGTGCTATAGTTAGAGCTTACCTTATAAACAGACTTAACACGATGGCACCAACAGTGAAAACGAATACAACCACAAACACTATGATGACATAGATGATTTCCACACCTAAGACACAAAAAATAATCAGTAAATTCTTTGCATTCACAAATAATATATCAGTTTGTGTTGTCTAAAATGCACTGGAAAGTTCCTTTAAAGATAATAAATCTCTGTTTGCTGCCTTCCAGCTAGAGTGCCGCTTCTACAGGGCAGCAATGAACCATTAATGTAAGTTAAGGTGGTGCCATCAACCTTCTGAGGCTTTAAGTCTATACACTGTCAGAAAAGACCTCTAATGTTCAAGCAAATGTAAATGTACACCTAAAGGTACATAAATTGTCTTTAAGATCTAATCAGGTACCTTAAGTGAGTTTTAAAAGGTACAGACTATTCTGTTTCTCAGAGCCAATGTGCATATCCGTAATACTTTAAAAGAGAAATATAACATAAAAAGCCTGAAGTCTTGACAGGGTGTAACAACCTGTCAACACAACCTAAATAAACGAATAATATGTTTATCAGTGAACATCAGATTGGAATGTTGATTCTGTGAAGTTAACATTGAATCTTTCACTTTAATTTCCTAGTTATTCAGTGACTGATTGCTATGTGGAGCATTATCTGTAGATTTGTTAGTGCAAATAACTTGTTTCAGAGCATACTGTAGTTATACAATCACATAAAGTTGAGTGATTAAAAATCGCTCTTTCTGTGTGTGTTGTGGGTGTTTCCCTATCCCTAACCACAAAACAAATTATTACTGGTTTAGTGTAGTATGTAGACCTGGTTAAAAATGGTCACTAAGCTGGAAAAACTGTGTATTTTAATCCTTTCTTTTTGTGATATAAGGAAAATTAACACATATCCTTATATTCACCAATTCAACCTACAGCAGTTTAACTCCACCCATTCACACTGAAGTTATTTCAGCTCAGGAGACACAATGTAGGGCAACCAATCAGATCAGAGTTCATTAACGTATATCAATATTAAAAGCACAGTAACAAAATCAGCCTGTTTACTTCTAATGGATAAAGAAAGATTGAAAAATAGTCATGTAAAAATCAATAATGACTGTTTTTCAGTAAGTTAACCCAAATTAACATTATTAGAGGACATTGGGGGAAAAAAAAGCATGAAACATGTCTTATATGGGTTACTTTAACTAATACTTAAGAACCCATATAACACACGTCATTATTGTAGCATGCAGTGGAACACAGTTATGTTCTCTAACTAAAGGTACTGAACAGTGACAGCATTTCTACCCTGAAAGTTTCCTCCCAAAGCTTTTAACAGGGCACAGAACAGCATCTAGTTTTGGCTTCAAAACAGTCTTGTACAAAAACAAGAATGAAAAACAGTTCAGAAACATCACATCCTTGGCTTATTGTATGGCTTATGAATGTTCAACAAAATATGTTTGAGGTATTGACTGTTCTGTGCTTTAGTAATCTGTCTTCCCACAATTGAGAAGATGGAGTGATGAAGGAAATGTGTCACTACCAACAGCATTCAAACAAGTGCAGAGTGGCAAAATAGTCTGAGATTAGCTAAAAAGTTACATGTGAACCATATTTTTCCTGGTCTTTATCAATAAAGACACCACAGCTGGAAAACTGTCACTGTATTAATAGTATTTTCATGAAAAAGTAATTTTGCAGTTTCACAGTGCTCTGTATGAGCTGATTAGACATCATTCTTTCACTTTACATTTCAAAGATTTTTTTAAGTACAAAACATTTAAAACTCTAAGAAAAAATGTGTTTGATGAAAAACTTTAAGCAAGTTCCTTTTTTAAGGTTTCTATTCCTTTAAGCAGGATTTATCATCCACTCTCCGTTCATCACCAAAGATCAAGCTGAGAGCTGTTAAACCAGTAAAACTGCACATTCTCAGTACCTCCGGTGCAGATGGCATTGGGATCGAACCAGCAGCTGGAGTCAGCAGAGGGAGGGGAACCCCCCGGATAGTGAATGGACTTGCCAGCAAAGCGCACCACATCTGAGCCCAGATCCACCAGATAGCAGAGGTACAGGTGTGTCCCCCAGCCATCTGAGTCCAGAATCACGTAGTCTGTCTGCCCATCACCTTGGCTGTCTATCTTGATGTTCTGGTTGAAGCCGGTAAATGTCGTGTTACGGGTGAAGAAGGCCAGGTTGGTTCCTGAGAGCCACTGGCCAGCTCTTCTGGCATTGTTTATAGCTTTGGCAATGAGGTACAGCCCATTGTAGATTGTGCCAAAAAGAGGAGAAACCTGAAATGAAACAGCAATGAATCACTATGAGGAAATATAATAATGAAACAACTTAGTTAAGGCATTTCAGACATTTGATGCAGTAATATGTAAATTGTGGAAAGTGAACTGGTTTCAAAGTGGTTAAAGATGGACTCATATTTCATGTCCAGCGAAACATCAGGTAACTAATCACTGGTTTGATAAATGTAATGATACATGATACATTTCTGATGCATCTAAGGATTAGAACCACCCTTCACTGCATGGTGTTGATGTATCTTACTTTCATTTAATTTTTGCCTGACTACAATAAAAAAGTCCCTCTGATGTCTCCTATATTTGGGTTATTATTATTAGATCTTTGTATTTCACTATTTTTTTTTAACTTTTCCTGTATAATAATGCACATACCCCAACACACCACTGTTTAACACAAAAACCTTTGATTTATAAGTACTTTTGGCCACTAAATTACCATCACCTTGACAATGCATATTTTCTTTAGAGATTTTCAATGCAACTTCTAGTCTTATTTACCACCAAGCTAACGGTGCCCCTCTTCTCATGCTGGTGGTGCACTGTTTGGCTGTAGAAGGTAGAATTTCAAAATGTACGTAGCAAACTATTAGGCAGTACAGAGCGGTTTGAGATTTAACGGTTTGAGTTTGATGCTATTTAAAGGGGAATCGATTTTTCAAAAATTCTGCATGATTTAACGGTTAAGATGTAAAGAAAGTCATTGACAGTGGTTTGGTGCGAAATGCTGCGCTCTAGAGAAACTTGCCTAGTCAAAGTTGTTCACAGTGGTGGTGATAGGAACCAGATGTCCACCGCTAAAAGCTCATGGAAAGTTATTACATAAAAATGGTTATGAATACTCAGTCTGATGTTTGAGACATTGTTTTATTGATGTTTTGTAATAAAGTCTTGGCCTAAAACGTATTTTAATCAATTTATTTTAATTATGGTGGTGGGACACATGAAGGGTGTTCTAAGTCCCCAAAAAAAACAGATTTTTCAGATTTGCTTTTATTTTACCATCATCAACATAACATATAAAACTCAGGAGACATTTAGGTTCACTAAATAAAATGGCTGTATTAGTGTTGTAGACACGGCGACCCCTGGTTTCTATTACCACCACTGTAAAGAAATCTGAGTCAGTAATTTTCTCTACAATGAATCGTTTCACGTCAACCCACTCTGGATGACTTTGCATCTCAAAGACTGAATTTCAGAAATGTTTAGAAATTTTAAAATATTGGTGGAATTCCCCTTTTAATTTTGGTAGATCTGACAAACGCTTGACATTTGAAGCATGTAAGCCATTCAAATGACATTCTTTCTGTCTTTTATGTTACCATTTTACAGTGATCATGTCATAAGTACTTTAATTCAAGCCTGTAATATTAATGGTGGGGTTGTTTAGCATGTTAGCTATCTTTTAGCCTGTTAGCTAGCTGACCATAAGTTGTCAGCCCCTCAGTTGAAACAAAAATGTGTTCTTACTTAATCAATACACTCGGTGGTCCGATTATCCCATTAACAGCACAATGATTTTTCATGACGTGGTGCAGTAATAGGAGTTCAGTTGTTGTCAGGTGGTCATAGATGTAGTATGTCATGGATTTTACAGTGGCTTCGAATGCGGCTCAGCCAATCAGATTTTAGGACTGGAACTGTCCCTTTTATAATCTAGATTTTATCCTTCTGCTATAGTTACCATCTTGAAGATATATGGTTTTGTTCCAACAGTGGTACATGTGTTACTGCTTTAAGAAATAAAATAAAATTAAATATGTGGGAAAAATTTTTTTATAAATGAAATGGTTTAGATGATATCGATTTTTATACATTAAAAATATAATTGTCATCATAAGGCAACAGCATGTGACAATGGAACTGCAATATATGCTGCATACAGTGAGAATGAATGCTGTCGGACGCTGCCATCTTCACAACTTTTTTACATTCTAAGCTCATAATTTTATCAATACAATCATTTCCATAGTTGCTAACTTTGGCACTGATGAAGTGGTGGACAGCTTTTTCCTACTTGAAACAATTGTTAACAACAAAGGATGTGGCACTCAGGAAATATGACACAGATTGACACTTGGCAGAACAAGGACGTCAAATGATCAGAATTGTCCAGCCTGTGATCTTTTCTGGGGTTCTCATGGATGTGATGGCTGGACAGTTAAAAAGCAGAAAAAAAGACAGGAAAAAAAAAACTGATGCCTTTGAACTTTGGAGCTGGTGAAGACTTTGAGCACCTTGGACCCTCACCTGCTCTGGACCATATGACACGCTCAGCTCTTCCTGTCGTTTGGCCATATTGAAGGCCTGGTTGAAGGACATCAGGTCAGAAGCCACAGTGACGGTCAGCACGGCGTCGTATGCTTTGCGCAGCTTGGTGTTATTGAGCATTGTGAAGTAGGCAGCGTCAGTGTAGGGCAGGCTGTATAGCAGAGTATCGTAAGGTATGAAGACATAACGTCCGCTGGTTAGGCCCATGTCATAAGCCTTCAGCAGGAAGTTCATCTGCTGCTCTCCACCAATCAGCACCGAGTGCATGCACATAATAATGACTGCAGGACACAAACAAAGGAAAGTCAAACTTTACTACAGTAAATACCTTCTGGAACACTTTATCAGCAGAAAAAAACAATACTCATGAAGGATTGTTTTAAATGCAAAAATTCTGAAGATATTCTTAAATTGGGGATGGTACACTGTTCACTGTTATAGATTATCAGAATGAATTAAACAGTTAAAGAGAAAAGCACACGTATTGTTATTTGAAACCTATTGTTTAGGATGAGCAGCCACTTCAAAATTTTTAATTTCATTTGCAGTAAAGAAAAAAAGGAGGGGGGGGGTTACTTTTACTGGAGACTTTGTTACTTTTACTGGAGAAACTTGATTGACAGCATAACATCAATATTTAAGGTGAGACACTCCAGGTGAATAGGGGATTTGTTTTAAAACAATAAATATCACAATTAAACTTTGCCAGTTTATTATTGATATTTACACAAGTAAGTAATAGATATCTTTTCAAATATTTAGCTCATTACAAAGATGCACTCCACAGAAAGGATTTTACTGAAAAGGCTGCTGGTATCTTATTGTTTTACTGTTTAATTAAGAAAACTCTATACATTGTATAATATTTTGCAGGTCATTCTGTAGTACATCATCTGGCATAAATCCAGCCGTGAGCAATATATTCAAAAATCCTTCTGTCATGGACCTCAGAATGTTTATAAATAAACATGAATGAAGATTATTTGGTTGGGAATGTAGAAAAAAGCTGATTCTGAGAGAAACGTGTAAGAATCAGACTCAGAACTGCACTACACAGTGAGATCTCAGAAAACACGCTGCTGTTTCAAATGAAATGGACATATTCAGATGTCCTACTTAGATTCCATAGGAAACGAGCTTTTCAGTAATACACTACAGAACGTGGTTATGCAAAGAGTGGGTGGAGCTAAGCCTTAAAGTTGCAAGCTTTTGGAAAACACCTTTAGACTATATTGTTAGAGTGGACGCGAATTGACAAAACGCACTAAAATCTGCTGAGTTATGGTATTTAAGATTGAGAAAAGACTAGATTATATCATTTATCCAAAAATAATCTCTTGAAGTCTTTGAATGCCATTTATTACAGATATTCTATTATATTACTAATTTATAACATGTCAAAGAGCTGTCATGCTAAAACATAGAATTAAATTAAATTGGAGAGGATATAATAAAATTAGCCTCAATAAATTATTGTTTCTGTGCAGAGTGTGTCGGCTGCAGGATAAAGTCTAGTACATTTACTGAATCGGTGTGCTGCAGCTGCATAAAATGGACGAGCATCATGAGCAGCAAGTGCTTCACAAACATTTAAAAGAGCTTCTTCAAATGTGCATCAGGATTATGTGCACATCCTCCAGACTGTCCTGAGATGTTTCTACAACAAGATGGCTGACAAGGATTAGGTCTACTACTCAGTGTTACCCAGATTCAGCCCCTGTATATCCACCTATTCAGCCTTCAGCAGTTTAGCCCCACCCATTCACACTGAAGCTGTAAGGAGTGTTTCAGCTTAGATATCTTGATGAGCCAGATGAGGCACAACACAGCTCAGCCAATCGGGATAAAGATAATTTACAATCAACTGTATGCAAAAGTTGGTCAAATGACGTGAAAAAAACTTTGTACAGAGAAAACACTTCAGCACATTTACTGCACAATTACTGTTTTTTGCTGAGTTTAACGTAATAATTGAACACAACAAAAATAAAAATGAGATCATGGCCTGTGCAAAAGTTAGGGTACATTTTATATTTTATGTTTGTTTTTTTTTTCTCAATATATCAAACTCAAGCAAATGAGCTAAAATTCTGCACTAAAACTCGCAATATCAATAAAATTATCAACACCAATATCAATAATACATATAATTTGCCCAGGGATGTCCAAACTGCACTTCAATGTATACCATCCTTAAAGGCACAGCAACAAAAACAGCTTATGTAATTATAAGTGACATTATACAGATGTTGGAAAATGGTTATGTAGGAATAATTTATGTTTTTGATACATTAAAGAAAATGTTAGAAATGGGTCTCAGGGAGAAAAATATATGTAGGATATTGACCATTTAATTCATTATTCTCTCATTCTCATCTCTTTTCAACATTATGGAGGCAACCGAAATAATGAACGTAGGCTGCAGGCCTGCATGACTGAGCTGTATGATTGTGCTTTACCTTTTATTGCCCCTGCATTCTGGATGGCCCTCAGCGTGCTCTCTAGCTCAGTGTCGTTGTTGCCAACAGACGCAACAATGCCTACGGGAAGCCCCTGGCTCCTCAGAGAACTGGCCACTTTGTTAGCGGTGTCAATCCATATATCCTCGTTAGAGGACACAATGCCAATGTTAGCCCAGCTGAAATGCCTCAGCACGGTGAAGAGAACCCGTGCTGGTGACGGCAGTGTCCGTGCAAAAGTGGGGTAGTTTTCAATTCGATCCAGCTCATAGTTGATGCAAGCCCATGAAAAGATGGCTTTATCCCAGTTCTTGGCCAGGAGGGTCGCTGCGTTGCAGTATCCTGGGTTTGTAGGTCCCACAAAACCATCAGCTGATTTTTCATAATATACAAATGAAGTCAGTGCTTTTGACGTTTCACACGGCTCCTGCAGCACCACAAAGTCCAATTTACAGCCCAAGTCCAAGCTGAAGTCCTCATTTATCCTATTAATGGCCAATTTTGATGCGACTGCAGGGAGTGCTTTGGAGAAGACAGGGTCACAGTTCCAAGGCCCCACCACTCCAACTTTAAATATTAGGCATTGCACACAGCAGGGGAACGTCAGCACCCCAAGAATGATCCATAGAGTTAAGTTGTAGAACGGCAGTGTGGAAAGGCTGTGTTTGCTCCTCAGGATGGGGCAACAGGGATAGCTGGATAACTCCCATAGTGCACCTCCGAAATGGAGAGGAAACTGTTGCATTGTCCTCTTTTACTGTCCGTTATCATATGTGGAGTTTACACAGCAGTCTTTGATGCCAGGTTATAGCACACCTGAAAGAGAAACTGTTTTACTGCCATGCAATCCCTTCATATTTTGCAGCAACTTTATTTGCAACATATTACAAATACATGTTTTCACTTTGAAATAAAGTTTGAAGCTTTGCAGACTGGCCTACCTACAAACAAATAAACAAACAAACAAAAGATTTTTACATACCATTATTTGATTCTCAGTTCACACATTTGGCTTAACAAGAAAAATAGAATTTGCAAAAAACAAACAAACAAACAAACAAACAAACAAACAAACAAACAAATACCTACTTTTATTTAGGTAACCCAGTTTATATACTGGCTTTTTAAAATAAATATACCATTTGTAACTACTAAACAAATTAATTCACAAATAACTATTTTTACTTAACACTACTTAGGTAATCCAGTTTCCAAACTGGCTTACCTATGTAAAAATAGCATTTGTACCAAATAAATAAAAAAATACATAAATAAATATTTGTACTTACCATTATTTATCTGCTGTTTTCATCCTGTGATCAGATTAATTTTCCTTCAGCATCTGCCGCCCTTTTATCAACAGGTCTGAGTTTAGGGGATCATTCCTCCAGTATTTTTCAGTCTTTTCTCAGCATTTTAGACTAACTTTTTCAGAACATCAATCAGGTTTCAGTGAAAGCAGCCCCTCAGCTCTCTATCATTCTTTGGTAGGACTAGTTGATGCAGTGGTGCGATGTTGCAGCAACTCAGTAGAGAAGCAAGTTCAGCACCCTGGAGAGCTCCTGCTGTGCTCTTAGTAACGCCGTTCATACACAGCCACTTTCACTACCATATTCATGTCTGACAGTCTGGCTCTTAGTATGAGCTTCATCTATAGCCGTATTCACATAAATTCCTCACATTTACATTAATACAATTAATAGACTTCAACAACTCTTCAACGTTACCTTAATCTGGGTTTATCTTCAGTTCCTTTGTACTCAGTGAGTTGTAGAACGTTGTATAATTGCATTTTCTTGAGGAATCAGTGGAAAAGTTATTTAAATCACAGTCCAAAATCTTTCATGTTCATTCAAACAAAGTCTTTTCAAAGTGACCCTTGGCTGAGACGTAACCATGAGCCCTGGATCTAATCCACAGAGGCGCAGCTTAAGAGGATTGTGGACGAAGCCCACATTCACGCCTCAGATGTTTCCTTACTCATGGAGAAAAAAATTCATTCATTTAAATTTGTGTCATACAAGTTCAAAATTTGACCTTTCTTGTAGATTTCTTTAAACTTTAAAAGGCCCTTCACGTTAACACATTTCGTTTACACAGACGGTTCTCTACAAACACCATCCTCTAAAAGGCTCTTTAGGGGAACCAAAAGTGGTTCTTGTATGATATCTTGCAAAGAACCCTTTCTGGCTCCTATATTTTTATACTTCGTAGAATCTTTACATTATTTGGAGGTTCTTTACACCTTAAAAAAGCTGATCACACTCACACGTCATTTATAAACACAGTTCTCTAAAGAAAAAAGTGCATTAGCACCTTTTTCTTTTTTAAGAGTGTGCATCTGTATAGAACTGTATTGTCTAAACAAACCACATGCCAATGTTTTCAACCTTTTTTTCCTAAACTGGCACTTTCACATTAACTATGATTTATCACAAAATAATGCTTTTCTTTCATTCACCTCAAGTCCATTTAGTGAAACGCATAAAAAAATTGGGTACTGCCCTGAAGTGCTCCGTGACGACAGCATGAGCACAGTGGAGCAGAGAGAAGTAATTGGCCTTCTGCTTTGGTGATAGCCCCAGCAGTTCAATTGAATTAGTGCAATCTTGTTTTGGGAATAATTAAAGTTAACGAGGGCCACTCTCCGGAACAATCCCCGGAGCTCTCCTATATTTGCGTGCGTCAGTTAAACGCCACTGAATGGAGTAGGCTGGTCTCCAAGCTCATTTAAACAGAGAAGACGAGCAGACACTGCCATTAGCATCCTACAGCGCTGGAAAAGTTCAGTTTCTAGGTGGGGAGTACAATGATATAATAATGGAAAGAGTTTATTATTATTGGAAAATGGAATTACATTTTAAGCTTTAAAATTTATTTTCACCTGTTGCATTTAAGAACTACAAAAAAGTCTAACAAACTAAATTAAATTTTCACCTGCATTTAAAAATCATTTTTTACACATTTTGTGCTGTCATAAAAATCATATATCTCCATATTCATTTTATTTCTACATTATTTGAGCACAGCACAGCTGTCTTTTCCATTGTGTAAACATTTCATGACAAATGGACCAAAAAAAAAATGATCAAGACTTATTTGGAATAAAAAAAGATAAAGAATGTTTTTGCTTTACTGTTTTGAAGATTCAAGGTTTTGTCAGGACAGCAATGATGAATTTAATGACTGCACAATATGCTACATAACATTACTGTTACCCAAATTTGTATTAGTCATTGAGCATATGAACCACTTAACAAAAACCTTAGCAACTACCTAAGATACCATTGCAACCACCTAATTACACCTTAGCAACCGCATAGTAATGGCCTAGCCATGTGTAGTGACTGTGCAATAAGCAACATTGTTATCTTACTTTTCTTCTTCTTCTTTTTCTAATGCTTATTTTTCCTTCCTGAATTCTATCCATTAACTCAAACCACAGTTTCTGAAAGATCCAGAATGCTTGACCTGATTGTAAGATGGAAGCTTGTATGCATCTGTTCCATGGGATGTACTGTTTCTGTGTAGCAGTATTAAGGTTTTTTTTTTTTCTATTAGGAATGAACAGCATAATTATGTGGCCAAACATTTGTATGCCCCTCTTATGTCAGAGTGATACAAGCACACTAGCAACACCCTAGCAACCATTTGAGATACCATAGCAGCCACCTCGTAACACCCTAGGAGCCACCTGGAATACCATAACAACCACTTTGGAACACCCTAGCAACTATCTAGAATAACATTGCTACCACCTAGCAAATCGCTAGCAACCACCAAATATGCCGTAGCAACTACTTGACAACACTCTAGCAACCACTGCAAGACTCTAGCAACCACCTGGAAAAACATATGAACTGCTTAGCAACACCTTAGCAACCACCTTGGATACCTTAACAACTGCTTTGCAACACCCTAGCAACCACCTAAAATACCATTACGACCAGTAAGCAAAACCACAGAACCACCTAGCAATTTCCTAAAATACCATGGAAACCATAGTAACCCCCTACCTGTACCGGGGAACTGCTTAAGCTGCACAATCACTCTCTTTCATTAGAAATTGCACTTTGTATATTTACACATTTACAATGTAACCATCATACAGTTTTAAAAATACAGGTACCAAAATGAGATCTTTCAAGTGACAGCACAGGAGAACCCCCTTTGATTCCCCAAAGAACCTTTTAATTAAATAGTTTCAACTGAGAATTTTAAAGTGTTTTTTTTTTTCATAACATCACTCTGAGGAACCTTTTTGGCAGGAGTGTAGGAGAACTTAGGCTGTACAGGAGTATATTCTCAGATACAGTTGCTGACACACTGATTGATACTGTTACATTTCACATTTTCTAGCAGGCCTGTCGTATCACAGGGAAAAGCGTGTAAATAATATTTTGTGTGCCTGAGAGTGAGGAGTGGACTGTGTGTGCGGGAGTGAAGCAGGGAGATTCCTCCTTCATGTTGACCCATATCCAATAAGCCTCTGAGCCTCTTAAACGTTGTACTTTCACAGCTCTGTCCTGCAACCAGAAATAGGGGCGGAGAAGTGCGCACTCAGCACCCGTGAATCAAAGCACACCATGACGCCATACCATTTCAAATGTGCATAGTCTTCACGTTCAGTTTCAGCTTCCGAGAGAAAAAAATTATCTTATTCAGTTATTTATGTCTTTGTATTATTAATGACTGTTTAATTCAAATTCAACATTAAAGAATAGCCAGCAGTATATTACAACATGCTTCAAGGACCGTACCATTTCCTTCTTACTCTGTTTTTTGCAAAGATTGTGTGAGATGTCACGCCTGCTGTGAGCTTTCAGGTCTACTGTGCCATCTAGTGGATTCAAAAGTTCTTCACATTTTGTCTTTAATTACACCCTTAAAATAAAGCTGCCCAAAAGGGGTTCTTTGGAATGATTCCATAGAAGGACCACTTTGATTCCCTAAAGATACTTGTTTGAGCTTTTAAAGAAAATAAACCTGTCATTTTCTGATTTAAATGGTGTCTGGTCTGGCAGCAGGTCTGGGGAGAGAGCCCACTCTCATTCTCTGTTACGGCCTGACCCTAGAACGGGTCGTAACAGCACAAAGATGATTCTTAAAATGGTAGAGTGATCATCATACTGAACTCTCTCTCTCTGCCAGTTAAGATAATCTTAACACTAAGATGCTTTTGGGAAGCTGGGCCTGGCTGGGTTAAATGTTCTTGTGGCCTGTGGAAGCTTTTGTGGCTGTGAGTTGCAAAAGGTTGGCAATCTCTGATCTATGGAATTAATCATTGCCTCCTTCTGTAACATTTTGCCTTTTACCGAGCTTCATCTGTGTTGTATTCAGTTTTGCATTTTCCAATTGATGTTTAGCTTTGTCACTGCTCCCCATTTTAAAGTCTTTTAAAGACCTTGCAGCACTCAAGTATGCTGTTACTGAGCACCACAAGAGGGCAGTGTTTTAAATGTTTACACAAAGCAGAAACAAACACAATACATTATCTATTGTGATCAGTGACTTTTTTCATCATTCATCTTCTTCTTCTTCTTCTTCTTCTTCTTTTGTGTAAAAGTTACCAAGCAGATGTTAAGTTTTGGAAATATTAGATTTTGTTCAGACAGTGATAACATGCAGAGTTTTTAATCAAACAATGTAAAATGATAAAAAAAACCCTATTTCATCTACTCATACACTGTATGTATGACAGTAAGTCAATTTTACAAGACAAGGTGTAAAATGACATTTAAAAAA